TTTCACAAGCTTGCATTTTGATAGCTTTGTTGTTTTTCAGTTTCATCCAGACGTAAACAAGGAGTCCAATGCGGAAGAAAAGTTCAAGGAGATCACTGCTGCGTACGAGGTAAGAATTGGTCTTTGCATTTCTTTCCATTCGACGAAGATCATTCCCATGTAGGTGCTCTCGGATGATGAAAAAAGAGCCATTTACGATCAATTTGGTGAAGATGGTCTAAAGGGAGGAGGTCCAACTTTCACGGTAAGACACAAACATTTCGATTGATAGAGATGATCTAGAGTTTGTTTGTGTGTGCAGGATAGTCCATTCGATATTTTTGACTCGTTTTTTGGAGGTCGAAGCGGATTTGGAAGGCGCAGAGGCACTGATAATTGGTCTGGAGTTCAAGGAAACGATCTCAGGTATGATCCAACTTGCAAAAAGCTCTTCTGTCGTTTTTCTCTTTTGGATTTTATTCTTTTTATCGTGACAATGTGTGTGTGTCTCTTCTGCAGCTACGATCTGAGCCTTGACTTCAAAGAAGCGGTTTTTGGAGTGGAAAAACAGTTTGACATATGGCATTTGGAAAGCTGCGAGGCATGTAGCGGAACTGGCGCCAGAAGTAAGAGCAGAAAGAAATGCCGAGTCTGTGGAGGAATGGGTGAAGTTATGCGAACACAAGAAACAGCCTTTGGGATGTTCTCACAGGTTAGCGATTCGTCGATAACGTTTGTTTTGTTGGCTCACATTGTTTTTCTCTCTCTCAGGTGTCTACTTGTACAAACTGTGGTGGCGAGGGTGAAGTGATTTCCGATCACTGCAGAAAATGTGGAGGCAAAGGAGGTATTCGAGCGAAAAAAACGATCAAACTAAGTGTTCCATGTGGAGTTGACAGCGGGAGCACTCTCCGTGTTGCTGGTGGAGGAGATGCTGGAGAAAGAGGGTGAGCTTAAATCTTGTGCTTGTTCTATATAGTTTCTTTGTGACTGACTGTGCCCTCTCTCAGTGGTCCATCTGGGGATCTCTACGTCAATCTTAAAATCAGAGACATGCCTGGAATTCGAAGAGACGGCATCAGTCTTTACTCCGAGATCTCTGTGAGCTATACGGAATGTATACTCGGGACAACGAAAAAGGTATGTTTCGCTGTTCTCTCGTATCTTAGTCGCATAAAACACAACTCTAACAGGTGAAAACGCTGGAAGGATTCTCGGATCTTCGTATTCCTGCGGGAACTCAACCAGGGGCATGTATAACCCTTCCGAAGATTGGTGTTCCAAGGCTTCGAAAGCCATCCCTTCGAGGGGATCACATTTTCTCCGTCAAAGTTTTACTTCCAACCAAAGTCAGGTGGGACTTTAGCAAAACTTTCTTCCTTGTTCTTCTTCGTAAATCCTTATCTTTTTCTTCTTCTACAGTGCCGCTGAGAAAGAACTCGTGGAAGAACTGGCTCGTCTCGAGAAAGGCGCTCAATCCAGGCAAAGAAAATCCCAAAACTCCAAGACTGAAGCTAGTACGTGGTGATCAAACACATGGTTTGTCTATAAAACGTTGACAAGTGTAAGCGTGTGTCCATCCCCCATGTGAAAGCCAACAGTGGAGATTGAATCGAGTTCTACCATCCTATCCACTGAAAGAGCTGTGTAAGGATTCCTTTGTTCGTCTGGCAATGGCTCTGACGAAACAATCTTGGTACTTTTGGCTACATTCCTGATGTCCTTATTAGAAGTTTTTAGTGCCTTAGAAAAAATAACATGTTAACAATATATAAGGCATAGCTTCATCGAATCTTAGGCATTGAGGAGACATGGTTGTTGGAAAAGTTTTGTGGATGTTGCTCTCAGCCAATGGGAGAGCCTCACACCTTGGGTCTTCGGTTAGAGAAGAATTTAACACACGTCCAGTTGAGTTTAAAGGTGAACTTTGTGGGCCGCTAGATAGCGCCATCTGATGGGGTGGGTTATAGGATGAGAGGATAGTTGAAGCTGCTGGCGAGCTATTGGAAGACTTGAAGGATTGGTACATCGAGATGCCTCTTGTGGCTATAAAGGTTTCCCATTGTGTCATATTCAACACGTTCAACCACAGGAAGGTGAATGAAGATTGGGTTCAACAGTTGATGCAGTCCATGCTCAAGAATCCACAAAGTCCCGGATATTGGTGTTGTAATACATATAAAAAAAATGGAGGGCAATGCAATCCACATTACTCACTCGTTTCAAAGATGAGTACTCGGAGCGCTCCAACGTGAAGTTTCTCATAGTCTCCAGGCAACACTTGTGCCTTGTGATGCATAAAATCTAGAAAGATCCTAACGTGCCATAGAGTATCAAGGACAAATTTTGTTTCTGCATCAACTTCTCTGGAGGTCATCACAATATCGCCAACAAAAAGGAGTGGTTTGAGTCTTACATCTGGGAGATGCTTGAACACACTTGTTTCCATTGGAAGAAGTTGGATTGTCCAAGGAAGCTCGGCACTGGAAAAGCAAAGGGGGTTGCTTTTGTGGTTAGTCCAATCATGTAACAGGAGATCTCCTGTACCAAATTCCTTTTTATTGCAGGACTTTGAGGAGATTGTAAAGAAAACCTTGAAAAAAGATTGCAATCTCATATACATCTTGCTACAGTGTACCACCCTTGGTTCAATATAATCAAGGATTATGAAAGTGGAAACCTCTTCAACATACTTGGGAAGCAAGATGGGTAAAAGGTTGAGCTTGCACTGAATGCTCTTTCAAGATCTTCTCTTCAATTAAGGGCTGAAAAGTATTTTTGGAAGGGTTTTAAATGTATAATAGGGATATATAATTTAATTTCTTACTGGGCATGTTTATCTTTGTTTTGAGTTTGACTTGGGTCTAAACCCATTTATAAAATAGTGTTAAATTCCATTTGGCTATATTGTTTTTGCCATTTAAATGCTGGAAACTCTAATATTTATCCTATGTTATTTTGTACTTTTATTCCTTTGCTCATTGGTTGTATGTTGAGAGTTAGCTAACCTTGAAACTCAGATCCCACTTTATTGCTTGTGGCACATATATTGAAGAGTTAGGTTTCACACTTTGGTTATATTATGATGATTTATTATACATTATAAAATCAGTACCATGTGTGCTGCATTTAGTATTATAGGAATAGTCTCAGCAGATACTATCTAATACGGGGAGGGGATTTTGAGTGCATATTGAATCTTTGTTTTGTAGTGCAATAAAATTGTACTTCAATTCCAAATTCATATGTGCTATATGAATCTATTTCTCATTTTTATGTTTTTGAATTGATTATAAATTTCCATTAGCAATATCTATGCAAACTAAATCTTACACCACTTAAGTTGCCTATTAGTGCTTAGTATTAAAAGGGGGATGATGTCATATATTTATCATCTTTTGGTATTTTTTGAAGTGTTTTTAATTTAAGTTGCCTATTAGTGCTTAGTATTGAAAGGGGGGATGATGTCATATATTTATCATCTTTTGGTATTTTTTGAAGTGTTTTTAATTGAAACATTTGTTGATGGGATTTGAACTCAAGAATTATTATGCATATGCATGAACAAAATTAGGTTTTTGGATTAGTTTGAGATTGGGCAAGATTAGTTTCTAGAGATCCAAAACTTTGTATTTAAGGTATTCAACAGAAATTCATTTTTTATTTTTTATCTTTAATATTTTATTGGTTGTTTATTGTTTTACCTTCTCTTGATAACAAGCTCCTAACACAAATAACTTATATAATATTTGAAAATAGCAACAACTTTTGATTCAATGAAAATATGTGAGATAAATATTATCTATATTTTCTTAAGCATAAAGACTTGTTGTAGTATAAGTCATTTAAATTGCAATAATAATCTTATACAAATAAATATACTAGTCATTGCATAGCAATGCTTGGTTTTCTTAAGTTAATAGTAGTGTTATTCTTTTTATTAATCCAATTGATCAAATGAAAGTTTATAATTATTAACATACTTATAATTTATAACACAAGATTAATCTTATTCATTAGATGGTAGAATAAACTAGAATGTACTAAAAAAAATTTATGAAAGTTTATAAATTATAAACTTGTTTATAAATAAAAAATTAATCTAATAAATAACAACCGTTAGTTGATAAAATATCCCAAAATATCAAAGTATATTCTAAATTTATTCTTTACCATCTAAGTCTTTTTACATTCTGGAACATGGGAAGGATGATTATTGGATTCTTGGATAGCAGCATCTGGCAATCCAAAAGCTTTGGAGATCATGGTATGAGCAGAATCCTCAGCAGATGGAATGCAATCTGTGAGGCAAGCGCTTCAACTCTTCCAATTGCAACAGGCAAGTCCCGAGCAGTATATTGTTCGAAGGATGTAGTCTCCTAGACTGTGTGGCAAACGTATCCGCTGGGAATCTCAAGCTATATCTGTTGACTCTGATGCCGCAGTGGGATGAAATCGCCTGGACGATCAGGCTACGGGCATCTGGATCGAGCAGGGTTTATGGCGGCTTCGCAAGTTCTCAATTTCTGGCCGACCATGTTCGGCTTGCGACATCACTATCCCTTGACTATCAAGGGTGTGGATCACCATCACCAGGAGGAGACAAGAGCAAGGAGCTTCTGCAGGCAATTCCGGTGTACAAGAAGATCCCACATCGTCGACTGCATCGACAATGGGTGGCCGGATGGTCACAAGCTGCTGCCTTATGATCCTTACCAGAAGGCTGGACAGATTTCAGTGACAGGTAGGTGAGACGAATGAGTTGGGGAAGTTTCTTGTTTTGCCGAGGATCCGTTCAACGCTCTTCGTGCTGGTTTCTCTCGCGGGCTGCTATGAGTGCCGCTATGGATTCAGCTGGCTACATTCTCCTGGCCAACATGTACATGGAAGGGTAGGTCAGGTCGATGTTGTTGCCCCTCCGTCCGTGGAACGCGATTCTCAGAGCAAATGCCGAGTGTTATTTTCTGGACATGAATAAAGGTCTTTATATCTTAACAAATTTATTTTAAAATCTTTTTGTCTTAGAAGTTCCGCCTTGGCTTGAGTATGACAGGCATGCCATGCTTTGGGATCAGGGGTCCTGTAATGACTGGGTGGTGCCGGTAATTTGGAGACAATTTAACCTCGAATCTCTGAAAGATGTTAGCAATGATTACTTTGCACTGCACCTCAGAGAAGGCCCTTCCAATGCAGGTTCGAACTCCATAGGCAAATGGCATGAACGCCATGGGATGCTTGGCTGCAGTTGCTGTACCATTCTTGAAGCGGGATGGGTTGAATTCATTTACATCATCTCCCCACAGATCTGGGTCATGATGCAGCGCAACAACATTAACGCTCACCCCCAGTCCTTTGGGAATGGACACGTCCCCCACCATAGTGTCTTTAATGCACAATCTTGTGATGAGCGGCATTGTGGGATACAGCCTCAATGTCTCGCGCAGAATCATCTCAATCTGCACAAACAAGAACCATACAGCAAGCTTAGTTATGTGGATCAAAGGACAAATCCGATTAACTGGTTACCGTGGTTAGCTTGCTGACATCTTTGGGACTAACAAATCCTCCATCCAGAACGTGGTCAACTTCTTGTCTTGCCTTTTCTTGCCAACTGGGATGGAGAGCCAGCATCAACATTGTGAATGAGAGAAGTGGGGCCAAGCTGATAAACCCTGTAGCATAGAGTGTTTTCAACTCCGCAACAATCACGTCTTCTCTAACATCTGGATTATCCAAAAGTTTCCCAATAAAATCAACGTTATTGCCTTCTGTTGTCTTCTTTCTTCGCTCTCTCACTTGCTTACGAACAAGGTCATTTAGCTGTTTCCGTACTTTCCACCGCTCAACGTTTATACCGAAGGGGATTGGCCTGCACCACAATATCTTCCGTAAGTCAGTACAGTTGATATGCTTTTTCCTTAAGCCACCTGTACCTGGCAAATGGTAACCAGCTCCAGGTCTCTTGGTCATCTTGCAGCTTGAGCAATGTGATGTTATACTTTGAGAATGTTCTGAAAGTCATTGTTTTCCAACCCCAGTGTTGTCCTTGCTACAACATCCACATTCAAGCACATGAACTCAACTTGAACATCTAGCTCCCTCTCCATGTCTCCACTCTCCTTCACAAAGGCTTCCCATTTTGCCATGACTTGGCTTGTTGCATTGTTCACAGTTTCAACCATTGCGTGTGCAATAGAGTTCAGTCAACCTTAAACTTTGACCTTGTTAATACAGTATCACCTTGACTTCGTCAATGTAGCTACAATTTGTCTCTGCCTGGCCCAAGCTTCTCCATCTGCATGGAAGAGGCCCTTATGAAAGATATCATCAGAAAAGACCTTGATGAAGTGGGACTTGATGAAATCCTTGTGCTTCTTCATAAACAGATCCCATATCATCTTGGGCTCTGAGATCACAATCCGGGGCTCCCGCAGCCACCAGTTCAAGTGTACGTTCCCTGAAAGTCAAAGTGAATTTAAAAGTACACTAATAATGTTGTGAAGTTAAATTGAAGCCCACCATAGAATTTGATGTTCTGTGCAGAACATGAGGCAGAATATCGTGGCTGATCTCCTTCATGTCAGGCTTCCCATACAAAACATCAAAGATGGGATTCGGAGGATTGGGTGAGCCTCGTATGCCTTGCTTCTCCATCACTGGACGGAGGGCACTGGCCAGCCAATAGTAGCGCATGAAGAAGCTGCACACCATCCATAGAACAGACAATGCAAGCACGAGTGCGACAAGAAGAACCGAGATGACATCCATTATTGGTGAGGCAGAGCTGAGACGAGGGCCGTAGAGAATTTATACACCAGCAAGTATTCACAGAGCTGCCCGTGAGACGACCTTGAAATCACGAACCTAAGATCTTTGTGCTTGACAAGACTACTCAAGGCGGAATGACTACAGGTTGTGAAGTCTTTTACAGGTAGTGTTCCTAGGCACCAAAAGACCATTACGGAACGACACGCTCAGAGTGACAATAAGAGCGGTGCATGCGTGTCGACCCAACAGCTACATATATATTGCATGGGAGACCTTACACACATAGGAGTAGAATCTCCTTAAAGAAACATCCTTCCTGGTTGAAGACTGTCAGGAACGTTTGTTGAAGAGATGACCCGATTGAATCAGTAGGGACTGTTTTCATGCAGCACCTGTCTAAAAATAACACGCCATGCACTTCACCCCCACCTCGATCGATCACTCACTTTATTACGGACCAACGAGGTGGTCTAAATGGACGACCCAAACACTATGATGGACGTTCTCAGTGGTGTTCACTCTCGCATCATACACCACCAAGTATTCACAGAGCTGCCCACGAGACCAGCCAGGCATAGAGATTGAGACCTTAAAAGCACGAGCCTAGACCCGCCCCGACAGAATCGATGGGCCTGGGGTCGACCCGGACGAATCCTATTAACATGGGAGGATCCCCCTCCAAAGCTCAGCTAAATCTTCTTGCGCCTTTTTTATTTGACCTTCCAAGTTTTGGATTCGTTTGGCCTTCAAGAAACATTCCAGGAACATCCTTCAAAGACTGTCTGGCGGGGGGAGAACGTTAATGACCCAATTTTTCAGGTCTTATAAATAGAAATGTTGGGAGTAAACACCAGAAGTGAGGGATGATGGCTCAGTTGCGAGGGATGATGGTTTGTGTCACTGGAGCATCGGGTTTCGTTGGATCCTGGATTGTCAAATACCTCCTTGACAAAGGCTATACTGTACGTGGAGCAGTCCGAGATCCAGAGGATTTGCGCAAGGTGGAACACCTCAAAAATCTCAAGGGGGCCAACCAGACGTAAAAGCTGATTTGCTCGACAATAGCCTAGTTTGCCAAGTTGTGATCCACACGGCATGCCCCTGTCCAGAGGCGAATTTCCGAATCATTAATCCGCAGACCGAGCTGATCGAGCCTTCAGTGAAAGGCACACTCAACGTCCTGAAAGCCAGCTTCAGTTCTGGAGTTTCCACTGTTGTGATGACGTCCTATGTATTTGGATCCAACTCGGCCTCTGGAGCAGACAGTGGATGAATCATGCTGGAGCGATGTGGAGTACGTTGTCCAGATCAAGGAGTGGTACTGCCTGGCGAAGACTCTTGCTGAAAAATCCGCATGGGAGTTCGCTGCTGCTCAAGGCAATGGTATCAAACTGATTGTGATCAACCCAGCAGTCGTGGCTGGATTGCTACAAGGGGTTTGCAAGCATCAAAACTCTGGTCGATGTTGGTGGCGGCAATGGAGCATTGCTGTGTGACATTCGAACTCGCTATCCGCATATCAAAGGCATAAATTTCGATCAGCCCCATGTTGTTTCTCAGGGAATTGCATCTGAAGGTATCCTCTCACAGATTTTTCATGCTCGATCATTCAAGCACTCTTTGTTTACTTCTTCCAGGAGTGGAGCATGCTGGTGGCGACATGTTTGGATCAATTCCCCAAGGAGATTCAATCATGTTGAAGGTAAAGGATCCAGAGTCAAATTCTCCTTGCCAATCTGGTGTTTCATTCCTTTCTAGTGGATTCTCCACAATTGGAACGACGAACAGTGCCTGAAGATTCTGCAAAACTGCTACAAATCCCTTCCTGCTCAGGGAGGGAAAGTCATTGTCGTGGAAGTTTTACTACCTTCTGAAGCTTATCAAGCTGCCAGTGAGTTTGAGCTGCGAATTGGACTGCTCCTAGATCTTGTCATGATGGTTAATTTCAACGGCAAGGAGCGGACCTTTGAAGAGTACCAGGCGCTCGCCGAACAAGCTGGTTTCAACAAAGTGCATCTTGTCAACGTCTCCAATGGACTAGCAATTCTGGAGTTTCACAAGTAGCAAAACAGGTCACTTTTGGCTGTCACCGTAACACAATGAAATTGTTTTTATTCATTTATATATGCCCACCATGAAACATGAAATCAAAAGATTTAGAAATGCCATTTTGAAGAAAATTGCCAGTGTAGTCCATGTCTTCCCAAATCCATATAGAAGACAAGAGAACTGTACAGTCGTGATTATCACGTTCAAGCACCATTAAATTTAAGCTGTGTTTAAGCTCAAATTTATTCTAGTGGGAGAATATACTTTAGGATGGTTTTGCTCTGCTCAACAATTTATGTGCCAGTCAGTATTGGAAAGCAGCATTCATTCATATTCTGTTTACATGGCCTCATGGCACCCCCCAAGAAGATGTGACCAAGGGATTTAAATAAGCTGCATAAATGATTGTCTCCATAGTCCTAGAGTCACCCACTTAGTCTCTTGTGCTTTCAGAGTGTAGTGTGTGTGTAGTGGTCACAAGTGTATACATCATGTCTATTAGAAGGGCTTGGGCTTCTATTTTTAATAAAATTCACACAATTGCATTGCCCATTTTGTATTGCCAAGGATGACATGAAGGTTAGAGCCCTTCTTGGATTTGGTTTTGTCAATCTTAAACTCATTCTAAGACTCATTATTAGACTTAGTTTCATCTTATTCAAACTCTTTATTGTTTTGATTGTGATTTCAAAATCCTAAGCCTTGTAAGCCTTAAGTCTAAACGCAAGTTCTATGTTGCTCTAGTCGGTGAGGTACCTTCCTCCTCACCTTAAGCCATTGGTATATCAAAATTGTGTTAAACACTGTTTGACACCATTTTTCATACAAGTGTTAGATACAGGAAATTGGTGTTCGTAGGATTAAGAGTGTATGGGACCCTTATTTCATAATACAATAGGCTTGGAATTTGGTTTCAAATTCAAGTGTGCTACATTTGGTATCAGAGGAATTGTCATAGCAATTCCTATTCAGCTTATGTCGGATTTTTTGACTCAAGTTGCATATGCAAAGACTTTTCTAGTAGATTCGAAGCGACATGTGTAGGATTCATTGGATTGCACCATTCGGTAAACATGTTATATGCATGTTCAGTTATTAAAAAAGGCATACATGTAACTGGCAAGATGGTGAAAAGGAACCGTATTGATGACATTGAAACCTTTAGACGAAAGAATCAAGAGGAAGAAGCTCTTGTTAGAGATGCTATGGAAGAGGTTAAGGGTGAGTCAGAAGAAGAAGAGCCTTATGCTGTAGCACTACAACATATAACTTAAGACATTGAGATTGAAAATTTGTGAAAAGAAGTTCATAAATTGAAGAAGGAGAACAAAAAGAAGAAGAACGAAGCTGAGGCAGTTAAACCAGCTAAACTTAACATCCCTTGGTATAACAAGACTTGATCATAGGACCCTTTAAATCCCAAGCCTTGGGTGCAACACTTGCTTCGGGATGTTGTGGCAAAACACTGTCCTTAGATTGCGAATTTGGATACGGGATGAACACCATTGTGTTCAAGCCGATCTCTACATTCTGTAGATATGCCAAATGAGCAAATCTAGATATTTTCCATAAATAGCATTTGGGACCGAAATGAAACTAACACAAAGGGCATGATAGTGAGGGTGTTTGGTAGACACAGTAAGCTATTATTCAGCGATAATGAGGGACTAGTCTCAATATGCAAGGGTTCTTGTCACTAGCCAGTGCAAGATATAACGAGACGGGAACTCCTTACCGGGCTAAGTATGCTTAGCTAATAACACATAGGAATCCCGTCCTTATACTTGTCTAGTCTAAGTACACTCGAAATGCCCAGTTAACTCCATTAGCACAAGAGGGGTTACCAAAGGGATCCAACTGTACCACCTCCTGCTATTATGGTAGTAAGGAAAGAGTGTCCATAAGGACTAGCCGACAAGTATCTTTTGATACCCGAAGTCACATTCATGACACTAATGTAGCGCAACAGACTTGGAGTTCGGCTCCAAATTCATGTGCGCTACATTTGGTATCAGAGGAATTGTTTCAGCGATTCCTATCCAACTTTTGTCAGATTTTCTGACTTAAGTTGCATACGCAGAGACTTTTCTAGTAGATCTGAAGTGACTTGTGTAGGATTAATTGGATTGCACCATTCAGTAAGAACATTGTAAGTATGTTCAGTTATTGATAGAGATATGCATGCAGTTAGCGGGATGGTGAAAAGGAACCATACTGATGACACTGAAACCTCTAGAGGGGTGAATCGAGAGGAGGAAACTCCTACTAGAGATGCTACAAAAGAGGCTGAGGCCGAGTCAAAAGAGGAAGAGCTAGATGCTGCGGTGTTGCAGCGTATGGCTTAGGAAGTCAAGATCGAGAATTTGCGAAGGGAGATTCACAAATTGAAAAAGGAGAATAAGAAGAGGAAGAAAGAAGCTGAAGTAGCTAAACTAGCAAAGCCTAAGCAATAAAACTCCTCTTCAAGTTCTGAGGACGATGAAGTTCTACAACCGCCCCCAGTTACACAAGTTTCAAAGTTCAAGCCTCCAAAACCACCCAATTTTAGAGGCATGTGGGACTATCAGGTTTTGGAAGACTGGGTCTACGATATGGAAAACTATTTCATAGCGGCAGACGTAGATGATCATAAGAAAGTTGTGTGCGCGCAATCCTTTCTCACCGATCATGCCAAAACTTAGTGGCGCCAAGTGTGTGTTGAAAAAGGGCAGACTAGAAGTTGGACCAAGATGCATTCTCATATCTGTAAGGAATACTTGCCAGATGATCTTGGTCTAAGACATCGCGTGGAGCTGCGGCGGTTAAAGCAGTGAAGGGATCTCATGCATTACGTTAATGTGCTTGCTTAAAAGAGCATTATGATTGCAAATATGAGTGATGAAGATGCTTAGAGTTATTTTCTGGAGGGTTTAAGTTCACTTTTTTGCAATAAGATTTTGAAATTTAAGCTGAAGACATACCTGGAGTGTAAGGAGGCAGCACAGCAAGTTGCCTTTATTCACTCGCTCATGGAACAATATCAACAACCATATGCTGGTAACTCGGATAAAAATAAAAATTCTAGGAATAAACAAGGTGACTGGAAACAGAGGGTGGAAGGCAGGTTCTGCCCTGGAGGCTCACAAGCAACAGTTAACAAAAGTGGTGGTGGTTGGAGACCACCAACAGCTTCTTTTGGTCCTAGGCTCTCTGTTCCTCCTCTTGGTGGGTACAAGTAGCAACAACTTGCAAAATTTGCTCCTAGCAATATAGGTAGTGTGGGTCATTGCTTCCATTGTGGAGAGTTAGGACATAGGTCTTCGGAATATCCCAATAAGCATAAGACAAGGTCCTGTGTTAATGTCATGAGGGAAGGCGGTGGTGGTGAAGCTGAAAGGGTTGATAAGTTGGTCAATGTAGACTATAAGGAAGAAGAGGTGAGTACTTTCGTTGCTTTCTTCAAGTTTTTCTCACAGTCAATGCAAACACTAATCCATTGATGTATCTGGTAGGCTTTGTCCGTGGACACCGAATCCGAGTGATCATTGATGTAGTGCACGTGGTTTTGACCCTTTATCCTATAGTGATTTACTATAGGATAACACCACGAAGCGGAACCTAAACCCTCTTTATGCCATGTGATAGATGCCACGTGTCCATGCCACATGTCTATAGGAACCCGAGGTTCAAGGCCTTGGGCCATTGAATGAAGGAACGGTGCCAAACTCCCAAGTGTGGAGCCAAGGAGCAATAGAACCGAACCATGGAGCAACTCCTGAGCATAAAGCCCAAGGAGCAAAGGGACAGGAGCTTGGAACGACTTGGAACAGTCCTAGAGTAACTAGCATCCCAATGCTAGGACCAGCATGCAAAATGGAGCCAAATAGAGTCTAGTGCTATTTCGGCATATCGGTGGCCTAACGCGAGAACATGGGTACTTCACTAGCTAGCATGGAATGGAACTTAGGTTTAGAGCCAAGCCGGACGCAGAACAAGGATAGGCACGCAAGCAGGAGTTAAACTATGCCTCAGGTTGGTCAGCCATGCCCGACCTACCCACTATCCCTACTATACATTTGGAACCCCCCCACAGCCCCCCCCTTGAGGAACACACGCTTTGGGCTTTCACCCCAAGCCTCCCTTAGTACCAAGAGTTAGTCTCTGGGACAAGCTCGAAACTTACTAAATATGGAATGTCCCTAGATTGCGAATTTGGACACGGGACGAACACCATTGTGTTCAGAACGATCTCTACATTCCGTAGATATGCCAAATGAGCAAATCTGGACACTTTCCATAAATAGCATTTGAGACCGAAATGAAACTAACACAAAGGGCATAATAGCGAGGGTGTTTGGCAAACACGGTAAGCTATCATCCAGCGATATTGAGGGACCAATCTCAATACATGAGGGTTCCAGTGCAAGACAGAGCAAAAAAGAACTAAGAGCCAGGCCGAGTATGCTTAGCTAGAAACACATAGGAGTTCCTACCTTATGTCCATCTGGCTAAGTACATAGGACAGTAAACTAACACTTGAACAAGAGGGGCTGATAAAGGGAACCAGCAATACCGACCTCCTGCCATCGTGGCAGTAAGGTAAGAGTGTCTGTAAGGATTAACCGACAGATAACTTTCGATACCCAAAGTCACATTCGCGACAATTGACACAGGAGCTATGCACAGTGTGATATCCGAAAACTTAGTTAAGTTGTTAGGATTGAATGTTGAGCAAATGTTGCCTATGCACTTCTAGTTTGCAGAAGGTGGGCAAGTAGCCAGAAAGTTTGTGAGTGATGTTCCAATAAAAATATCCAAGTGGAAAGAAAGAGTGGATTTGGTAGTGTTGATGATACCAAATTTTCAAATGGTGTTTGATATAGACTTCTTTAACAAATATATAAAAGGGATTTATAGTGTTGGACAAAGTTGTATCACATTTAAGTCAGAAGGACATCCTGATGTATCTTTTTAATTGCAAAAGCACTCCTTAAAGGATTGGGATGCAAAGTTCCTGACTGCGAGAGCCGCTCAAAAAGCAGCTAAGAAGGGATGTTGGACCAACGCAAAGCTTCACTTCTTAGTTTGGGATGAACTTATATTCTATAAACAAGAAAGATTGTATCTTCCCTCTAAGGATTTGTAGCAATTGTTTTTGCAGGAACATCATGATGTTCCAGAAGCAGGACATGGTGGAAAGCGGAAAACTCTAGCTTCATTGATAAAAGGATGTTTTTCAAATGCCAATGGAATGTACTCTAGTCTACATTGATTGTAGTAGTAAGATTGCCTACTTTATAACACCTTTTTTTTTCATCTATGCAATCATATCCTTGTGTGTAGGCATCTTTACTACATTTAGAGGTTCCTTAATTGGACACTCAATCTCCTCCATCTCATAATAGTAGTAATTTTGTGAATATTAGTGATAAAGAAGTCAAATTCAGTAAACTCTTTAAGCTCATTCAAGAGTTTGTTGGATAGCTTCATGAATAAAATATAATTTATCATTCTAGATAATGCACCAACCACTTTATTATCACCTCCATGCTTGTATTAAATCTTAACAAACATCTTTTGTAGGAACTCACAGCATACAACTCCTTATCTTAAATAGGTTAATTCTACTATGTAGCATTAAACTTGTGGCTTATGTATGTGAGAAGATGCCCAACTTGAAACAATACAACCCCAATAGCAATGTCACTCACATCTCACCACAAAAGGCTTTTTAGGATAAAAAATCTTTAATAGACACAAATGCTGAAATACCATTTGACACTCTTCATCCCAATTATGAATAGTAATATGTTTTGATGTGTTCTGAAGAACATTGGTCAAGAGAACTAACTACCTTATGTGTGCATTTCATCAACTCTAAAGTATTAATCAATGGAGTATCACTATTTTTTGTCCATCTCTATCACAGTGCCATCAACATCAATACTTAGAATATTGTGCTCCCAATCAATCCCTAGCTTTCTATTATAAAACCATTCCTTCCTAAAAATAACATTTGGATTCATTATTTGGAATGACAGATGGTTGAGATTCCTTTGAATAGTCAAAAGAACACTTAGAGCCCATTTATAGTAAACATAAGTGCTTTATTTGCCATAACTACTTTATAGATTACTAAGTTCTTTTCTACAAGTTTCTTCACTATGTTAGTACTTAAAAAGTTGTGTATAAGTTGTGTACAAGTTGGATTGAAAAGAATACTAAATGCACCAGCTTAAATATCCCCTTAAGGGGCTTTCACAAATTGATTGTACATAGAACTATTGAGCTCTAGAGAGTTGATACAAACTCAAGACTTTGGTTCTTGAACTTTTGCCATAGAACCACAACAAATGCATAAGCCATTTCCACAATAGATTACACAACATTTATGTTATGATCCAGTGCAAAACAACAAAAATCTAATCTCCCTAAATTACATTACACCTCTTCTTGAAGTTCTTCACCACCTAATCACCCCCAAGTTAGCTTCATTAAGGGTAAATTATGTATTTTACCCTAACATGCCTTGATATACCCTTAAGCTTCCCTTTGACCAATGTTGACTATGTGGTCAAAGTTAGCACCTAACAATTATCTTTGATCCCTTCACAAGAGGACAATATTCATTTTGATGTCCAACCTTGTGGCAACTAAAACAATCATTTTTTACCTCTCTTTTTCTTATTAATCTAAACAAAACTTTTTAGCCTCATTGCCATCTTTATTATTCGATTGTTTCTTCCTTGAATATGAAGTATTGGTTGGCTAGTCATGATTTTGACTACCATAGACCATCCTATTGACTAAAGTTGACCAAGTTGACTAATGTCACTAGGCTTAAATCTTTTCAATCCGCTAAATTTAAATATTTAAGGAAACATAAGTGTTTGTGAGACTAATGCAAAGATCACAAAGATAAAGTCCAAAGATAAAGTCCCCTACCTAATCTTTAGCAATTAGTTCATGAGATCAACTTTTTCAAACTTTTTGACAACTAAAGTGAGAAAAACCTTTTCCAAGAAGTCAACTTTATATTAGCTTTAATGTGGTTCTTCTACCATGAAGAAGTATGATCTATAAGCTTTATCATAAAAAAATCAATCTTTATTTTGTCTTCAGAAAGGTTATGAGATTAATAGGGTTCTTATGATTCCAATTAATAATCAATCTCCTGGCTGTCACAAACATTTAGTGATGACTTCCATTCCACAATACTATAATCCTTAGCATGATTGATGTAACAATGATAATCACAAACACAAGATTGATTCAAATTAAGGGTCAATGCAAAATATGAAATCCTTAATAATATTAATGGAATTCTTAATGTCACTCTCAACCTAGTGATTTAGCATTCTTGTTACATGATAATATCATTAAAAGTTTCCTCCTACTACTTTAATACTAATGAAACTAACAAGGAGTGAATTGTAGCGCACCTTATCTCTCTCCCCTTAAGCCAACTGGAAAAGGTGATAAGAGAGCCCTTAGTGGCTATTTTATCCCCATTTATCCCCCAAGGTTCCAAGGATTCTTTAATACCAAATGTAGTGCACATGGTTTTTACCCTTTATCCTATAGTGATTTACTATAGAATAACACCACAAAGCGGAACATAAACCCTCTTTATGCTATGTGACATATGCCACGTGTCCACAGAACAGTGGTGTGGAACCCATGGTTTAGGGCCTTGGGCCACTGAACGAAGGAACAGTGCCAAACTCGTAAGCATGGCGCCAAGGAGCAACGGAACCGGATCACGGAGCAACTCCCAAGCATACAGTCCAAGGAGCAAAGGGACAGGAGCCTGGAGTGACTTGGAACAATCCTAGAGTAACTAGCATCCTAATACCAGGACTAACACGCAAAACGGAGCCAAATGGAGTCTGGCACTATTTCGGCATACTGGTGGCCTAATGCAAAGATATGGGTACTCCACCAGCTAGCATGGAATGGAACTTGGGCTTAGACCCAAGTTGGACACAGAACAAGGACAGGCACGCAAGTGGGAGCTAGATTGTGCCTCAGGTTGGTCGGCCATACCCGACCTACCCACTATCCCTACTATACATTTGAAACCCCCCATAGCCTTCCCCCTTGAGGAACACACGCTTTGGGCTTTCACCCCAAGCCTACCCTTAGTACCAAGAGTTAGTCTCTAGGACAAGCTCGAAACTTACTAAATATGGAATGTCTCTAGATTACAAATTTGGACATGGAACGAACACCATTGTGTTCAGGACAATCTTTACATTTCGTAGATATGCCAAATGAGCAAATCTAGACACTTTCCATAAATAGCATTTAAGACCGAAATGAGACTAACACTAAGGGCATGATAGCAAGGGTGTTTGGCAGACACAATAAGCTATCATTTAGCAATATTGAGGGATCAATTTCAATATGCAAGGGTTCTTGTCACTAGCCAGTGCAAGATATAACGAGACGGGAACTCCTTACCGGGCTAAGTATGTTTAGCTAATAACATGTAGGAATTCCGTCCTTATATTCATCCAGTTTAAGTACACTCAAAATGCTCAGTTAACTCCACTAGCACAAAAGGGATTGATAAAGGGTCTAGCAATACTGACCTCTTGCCATCGTGGCAGTAATGTAAAAGTGTCCGTAAGGACTGGTCAACAGATAACTACATTTGTGACACTACTGTAGTGCACCTTATCTCTCTCCTCTTAAGCTAACTAGAAAAGGGGCAATTGCTTAATGAAAGAGCCTTTAGTGGTTATTTTATCCCCATTTATCCCCCAAGGTTCCAAGGATCCACGGTGATAGTATATCCAAATCTCATCCCATGATCACAATGATAATATATCCAAATCTCATCCCATGATCACATGCACTACACTCACCCCCTTTCAGAAATGTTAATGTCCTCATTGACTATTGACTAACAACCCCTACTGAGCCAAGGGGAATCAACACCTCCATTTCCACACTCAATCTACCAATCTTTCCATTTATCCCCCAAGGTTCCAAGGATCCACGGTAACATCAGAGATGTTAATGTCCTCATTGACTATTGACTAACAACCCTTACTGAGCCAATTTACCAATCCTTCCATTGTGTAGACCAGCTATTCCACCAAACTAGTCATCCACCCGTACTGTAGTCTCACGGTGGATACCTTCGTCCGTGGATACTCCACACAAGAGGAAGGACGCACGCATGGATGCCCAATACATACGATTTCAAATTTAGGGGTAGGAATATACTTTGCTCAAGGGTATATTATATTTTAAGTAGCCACTAATCAATGGGAATCAAACCCATGCCATTTGCTTCGATACCAACTGTAGCACACTTTATCTCTTTCCCCTTAAGCCAACTAAAAAAAGGGCAATTACTTGATGAGAGAGCCCTTAGTAGTTATTTTATCTCTATTTATCCCCCAAGGTTCCAAGGATCCACGGTGACAATATATCCAAATTTCATCTCATGATCACATGCGCTACATGAACTGTGGCTGTGGTTAGTTCAAAAATTCATTTAACATTCCATATAAACAATATTTACACTTTAGTAATATTGTGGATCAATCCATCATCTAAATCCCAGAGATTAATGTTGGGAAGGTTAATCTAACTAATGTTTTTACTCAAAGATTAATGAAAATATGCTATAAGACAACTCAAGAGTTATTAGTTCAATGGAATGATCATTCCATGAATGAAGCTATATGGGAAATTAAAGATGACATGAAAAGAGTGTGTCTAAGTTTTGGTTATAACTTAGATGACATTTATAAAGAAAGGGCCATATTGCTATATGATTTGTCTTTTATTTCTATGACCATATTATCATGAGAGAAAGTTATATTGCTTTTTTTTCTTTCATAGCTATTTTTCATGACTTTGATATTGCCATTTGCACATTTTAATTCCATGGCTGTATTATATTAAACTCTTTTCATGTGAGGTTTATTTAACTTCTCAAGGCTGCCATTCATAGCTAATTCATAATGAGCCACAAGAATATGCTAAGAATATTCCAGAATTTAGGGCTGGGAGATGTTGGCTTTGAGATCTCTATGAGCTATATATGGAGTATATACTTAAGACTACATAAAAGGTATGTTTCACCGTTCTATCTATTTTATTGTATCTTAGGCACATAAAACATAACTCAGAAGTTTCAGATCTTGATATCCCTCAGGGGCTTCAACTAAGGGTGTGTATAACTGTACTGAAGATTGGTGTTACAAGGCTTCCAAAACCATCAGTTCAAGGGGATCACATTTTTCCATCAAAGTTTCCTCCCAACCAAAGTCAAAGTGGGACTTCAGCAAAACCTTTTCTTTTTTGCTTCTTCTTCTACAGTGATGCCAAGAAAGAATTCGTGGAACATCTGGCTCATCTAGAGAAAGGCACTCAATCCAGGCAAGAAAAATCCCAAAACTCTAAGAGTGAAGCTACATACATGTTTTGATTATAAAATCAAGTTTGTTTTTACAACCAAGTATTTGACGTGTAAGCGCGTGTCCCTCCCCCGTGTGACGACAACCCCACGGTGGAGATTGAATCGCGCACGGGAGTTCTCCATCCTAGCCGTCGAAAGCGCTGTGTAAAAGCACTCTTATTTCCTCTCTGGCGTTCTAGGGTCTTTATCTCGTCTAGTGATGGCTCTGGAGTGGGGAGCTCTGGCTCTCGTCGTCGCCGCCGAAGGAATCTTGCTACTCTTCGCGACATTCCCAGGATCTCACAAATTTGTCAAGGGAATCGTCGCCGTCCTGCGCAGCGCGCTCCAGCCGCTACTTTCGATCGTCCCCTTCGCGCTCTTCTTGCTCCTGGATCTGTACTGGAAGTATGAGAATCACCCGCGTTGCGAGGGGCCGTCGTGCACTATCGTGGAGCGCGAGCACCACGCCAAATCCCAGATGAAGAGCCAGCGAAATCTCCTCCTCGTCATCGCCGCGCTCTTCCTCTATTGGGTCCTCTACCGCGTCACCGCCATGCTCGTCCGCATCGATCACCTCCAGCGCAAGACGAAGATCCAGAAGGATGGAGACGACGAGGACTCGGATTGAAAGAGCAATGCTTCCTCTTTTTTTGTGTTTAAAGTGTAATCCATGAAATTTCTTCCAAGAACCCTAAAGCTCCAAGTAGTAGCGCCAAGCCATGGCGGTAGGGTTTTAGCGCTCGTAGATAGGTGCGATCGAAGCGCCGGGCAAGCACCGGGGCTGGGTGGAGTATCGCCATGGCTGGAATGTGAGAGATTCCAGCTCTTTTTTCGTGTCGCAATGGTGATAGAGTACGTCTACGAGGCCCTCACGGATGGCCTGGTCGAAGAACCGGTGATGGTCTTGGATACGCCGGCCAACGATGCCAAGAAATTGTGCGATTTCGAGCTGGAAGAAAAAATCCAAAGATTTACGTCGCACACACAGGACTCATCGCTCAAGGTGGACAAAACAAAGCTTGTTTCGTTTCTGGATGCCTTGCTCGCAGAGAAATCCCGGCGGGAGAAATCTAAGGTAAGCGTCGTTTTGGTTTCGTTCCAAGCTTGAGATCTTCTCTTTGTTTTTTTTTTTTTTCGTTTTTGCGTCGAACAGGAAACTGGAGCAACATCTTTGCAACAGGTATCGAATGTTTTTTTCTTGTTCTGTTCGCTTCGTATGCTTCTGATGGAGTGTTTGATCGGTCGTGCAGATCACTGAAAAACGTTCGTTTTAATTTGCTGGAAGTTAAGCAAGTTTGAGAATTTCCATTTTTCCTGACCAAATTTCAGGTTGCATCGGCTCTGATCGAAACACACCTATTGACACAGGTAGAAACTCCAAGGTATGGAATAGACGAAAGTTTCAAACAGTGATATTTGTTTTTTTCGTTACAGGAAAGAAAAGTTGAAATCAATCTCTCGAGGGGACTTAGCCCTCCAAGAGCGTTCGATTCGGAACTAAAAATTCTCAGGTTTCAACGAGGAAGGAAACAGAGTCCTGCCACCGAAATGCCTAAGAGTTGTTCGAATGGTCTTTCTTCCAAGTAAGGTTTCGTTCTTTCGCTTTTTGGTCGGGCCTTCTGACACTGGTTGATAAGAACAACCGTGGCCGAACGGGGTAAACAACATCGTTTCTCTCCACAGGTACTCTGGTGAGGGTCTTTGAAGAGCTATACAGTTTTTCAATGTGATGTAGGTATTAGATGCCGAGGAAACTGCTGCTAGAAGGAATACTCGTTCGTCTCCGGTAAGCTTTGACGTATTGCGATTAATCTATGTACTATTTCGTTCAACTCATCAGGATACGGTGGTTTTGTTTTCATCTGACGATGAAAATGAGATCAAAGTCATGGAACCTGCCGCTATATCCACAAGGAGAACAAGCTCGCGCATTGCAGCGAGAAGGTCTGTGCAGTTCATCTGTGAAAGTTACACATTGGTTTCGTTTTGTCAGGAAAATGGACTTAAATATGAAAATTGCATATCCATCCAAGTATGTTGTTTCGCTCGGATGACTATATCATTCTAAGAACTTATATTTCTTACAGGGATGACCCCGACGCTCTTGAGGTTTATTATGGAGACTTTAGTCGTTTACAACCAGCGGAGTTTCTGAATGACACAGTGATCGACTTCTACATCAAGTGCGTTCTCTGCATCTTATGTTGCTTGCCACCTATCTGACCCGTGCAATACCCATCAGGTATCTCCAGAGGGAAGCTATAGATGCGGAACGCAAAGAGAAGTTCCATTTCTACAGCAGCTTTTTCTTCAAAAAGCTTAGCGAGGCATTCGACACTGAGGTACACAACTTTGTCCGCGTTGTAATGCTTACAGTCGCAGTAGGCCAAACAAGTAGAAGCATTTTCCAAGCTACGGAAGTGGACAAAAGGAATTGACATTTTTTCGAAGTCATATCTTTTTCTCCCAATCAACGACAGGTAAGTTTTTTTTTGTTCACAAAATTTTACTATCTCTTTTTTTTTTCAGGTTGCACTGGAGCTTGGCTATCGTCTGCTTCTCCCTGTCAGACGGGGGATTGACGCCATACATTTTCCATCTTGATTCGCTTGACAATGGACACTCTAGCAGGGAACTTTTCAAATACATTCAAAAGTTTGACAATATTTCGTGTTACTAGATTTCCTCTAAGTTCCTCTCTTTCGTTCTACTACAGGTATCTTGAACTGGAACATGCTCAAATGGAGACGGCAATCGAAGTTAAATGGCGTGAAACTGTGAAGAAAAGAGTAGAGGTGCGGCTCATTTCATACTTTTCTCCTGTTGCATTGTTATGTTTCAGGTACCTCGGCAAGAGAACGAGTATGATTGTGGGCTATTTCTCTTGTATTACATCAAGCGTTTTGTGGAAACCGCTCCTCTGCCTTGCAAGCTAACAGACACAACAAGCCTGGTATTAAGCTTGTTCTCGATTCTATTGTATTGGAACGAACTTTCGTTCTTACGTGTTTCATTGTTTTCTATGCAGTTTGGCAAACGCTGGTTCAAACCTTCCGATGCTTCGATGTTGCGATGGACAATCAGAGAAATTCTAGAAAACCTTTTCGAAGCGACAAGTCCTGAATGACGTGGTCTAACAAGGTACTAAAATCCTTGCGGAAGTTCTTTTCGTTTAATGGATCCTTTTGTTTTTAGATGCACATATGATTCCTGTGAGCCTTGGCGAGCATTTTTCTCCCCTCGATCAGAGGTAGCTCTTGCGGTTTGCCAATGAAAATTAGCGTCACCCAGTTCCAGAGATTTTTTGTCCAACAGGAACAATGTATATGGTAGCACCGGAATTCCTGTGAGCGATGTATTTATGAGAATAACACATTACTAGTCTTCCCTTGTTGAAAGCTCTAAATTCTGGCCAGCGTTTGCGAGTTATATGTAATGACGCCGATTCCAGCAACAAGGTGTTTTGGCTCTGATATGATCTAGCTCGATTTCTCGTTGTTTTTCCTTCTTTTCTAACTCCCTTTTCATTTCAGCAACCTGGTAAACACGCGAAGTTGAAAGCTACGAAGAGCGAAAAGGAAAAGAGTACCCGTATGTTGTCCTCCATAAGCTGTTTGAGGTAGTCTTTCTTATGTTGGATTCGTCCCATGTCATGGTTTATAGAATGTGGAGCAAATCTGTCACAAAGTTTCCACCTAAACGATGAAGAAAATGGAGAGATCTGGATTTCCTACTTGCTTAGGTACTCGTTGTAGCAATTCAAGTCGTGATCTTCGTGGGCTCTGCGGATCCTCTCGGACTCTTTGATCTTAAGTTGCTCTTCCATGCAACCTTTGAGCTCCTGCCTGGAAAAACGCTTGGACAAACTTCTTCCCTGGGGAAAAAGAATGAAATTCTCACTTACTGACGCCTCCTTGTCTCGTCCCGGTTTGGCGAAACCCGCTGCTTCACCTCCGCCTCCTTCATGTAATACTTCTCCTGCTGGATCTTGAGGAGCTCCAACTGATCGTGGTACTCCTTGTCGATATTCTGCCAAACCAGAGGAAAATTTTCGACGATGATCGCGCGAGAAACAGACACTCACCTCTTCATTCTTGGCGTAGGCGATGGCCGATCGAGGCCGCCTGTTGAGAATGCTCTGCCGGCAAGGCAACATCGCTAGAGGATCCTCGATTCCTTCTCCTTCCTCCACGCGGCGCTATAGAAACCCTATCCTCCCGCCCATGCGCCCTAAAATTTCCCCCCCTCGCTGCTCAATGCTCTCTTCGTTCGCTCTTCTCAACGATCTTCTCCTCCATTCGACCAAGAGACGCTGCGTCACAGAATTAGGGCTTACAAGACCGCGACACGTGTCAACTAACTGCTTAATGTCATGAGCCCGGGAAAATCGTACGGCACTGCCCACGTTTTCCATTCGAATTTGCACGGAAGGAAATCTAGGGCTTTTCGTTTAGGTTTATTGTAGGCGAGCAAGGGGCCCGCGGCGCCCATCGCCAGGAGCGCCAGGTTTGCAGCACAAATCACTCGTTTTCTTCGATTTCGCTATTCGCTAGGCTGTCGGCGGCAGCACATTTGATCGCATTAAGCGACAAGAGCGAGTGTTGACTTCGATTCTTGTGAGAATTGTGCCAATCGCTCTCTCCTGCCACTGCAAGCCATAGATTTTCTCGAGTTTCTAGTGATTTCTTCCCTTTCCCAGTGGGCCATGCGTTTCTTCCTGCGATGATTGCTACCATTCGACAAGCTGATGCGTTTCTTCGTCTTCCATTTTGTCACTCTCGGCTTTTAGCAGCGCCTGCAAACACGTTTCCTTGTGCGTGTCTTTTGTCCGAGGTTCATGCTCAAGGACTTGGTTTTACCAGGCCTCTCACTGCTAAGAGGGAGGATCGAGAGAGTCGTGTAGCCGCTAGAGTGGGCGATCAAGGCCGGGTGATGGCCATCGTTAGCGTTCCTCCGCCGGGATACAGGGCCAATGTCGGTGTTTGTCTCATCAACAAGAAAAACCAGGTGAAAACTCGCGCTTTGGATCGTTTGTTTCTTTCAGAGACTTACTTCTTGTCCAGGTCTTTGTTGCGAACAGGCTCGATGTTCCTGGATCCTGGCAAATGCCTCAGGTATGAGATCGTTTTTTCTTTCCTCCCTTCTGATCGTAGCTAGATCTTTTCTTTTTCGATAGGGAGGTGTTGACAAGGGGGAGGAGCCGCGAGAAGCTGCGATCCGAGAGCTACGAGAGGAGACTGGAGTTACTTCAGTGGAAGTTCTTGGAGAGGTGAGTCAAAAGAACGATGTTTATCCTCCTTTTTCATTTATGCTTCTCGCAGGTTCCAGAGTGGCTGACTTACGACTTTCCTCCCGATGTGAAAGCGAAGATCACACGGCTCTGGGGAAAAGAATGGACGGGTCAAGCACAGAAGTGGTAAACTTCGTCTCTACGTGGTTCCTGAGACGAGACATTTAGTTTGTTTTGCTTCGACAGGTTTCTCTTCAGATTTACTGGAGACGAGAGTGAGATTGATCTTGCTGGTGATGGCAAAGAGGCTGCTGAATTTGCCGAGTGGAAATGGCTGCCAGTTCCAGATGTAATCCAAGCTGTAAGATCTCAAAAATCTCTCCTTTCTCGAAATCTCTCGTGGCTTTTAAATGTCTGTGTTCTTCCAGGCCGTAGAGTTCAAGAAGCCAGTCTACGAACAAGTATTCAAAGTTTTCACGCCGATGATCCAGGCCTAGAAGAAAAGCATTTTTCTAATGAATGCCCTCGCGTACGTTCAAGATTTTGCCGCGTGGCAGATTTTCATCCGTCGATGTAGCTCTTTAAGAATAAAAAAGAGTTTGGTTCTTCTTCTTTTCCATGAACCCTAAAACGAACTCTATGGTGTAGGTTTTGTGGAGCTCGCGCTTCTCTGCGGCACACTGCGATGGCGCTGCGGCTCCAATCTTCCTCCGGGGGCGCCGAGCGTCCCTCAAATGTAAGTCTGAGCTTGAATCGATTGGAAGGATTGACGATTCTCCTCTGCCGCCACAGTCTGATTCGCAAGACAAAATACCGGCATTCTCCGTTGTCCGGAAGAAGACGCCCTTTCAGAAGCACAGGGAAGAAGAGGAGGCTAAGAAGAAGGTATGAAGAAGTGATTGGGAGTTTTGATTGTTTCATCTTTCTTTCTTTTTATTCTCTCGATTGTAGCGTGCCGACGAAGAAGCTGCCCGTCTCTACGAAGAGTTTGTCGAGTCGTTCAAGGCTGATGACACTCCAGGCAGCAAAGCGTTTGTTCGCGGTGGAGTTATGAATCCAAACGAACGAGTAAAGGCCACCTCGGAAAAGGAGAGAGACAAGAGTAGCTCGGAGAGTATGTTGCCTTGTTTCTCCTAGTTCTCGAATTTTGATCGTGTTTTTTATGGACTCACAGGTCCTGTGACGAGAGTGCCTTCCTCCGCAAAAAAACCTGGCAGCAGGTATAATTTCTAGTCACAAGTTTCTTCTTCTTTGCTCAAAGGTTTCTTTGTTTTTGATTCCTCCAGGTATGTGCCATCTTTCATTCCGCCTGGATTGGCAGCAAGTGTAAATAAGGACAAGGAATCTGACAAGAAGGTACATGTTGATTACAGGTTTTTGATAAATGAACTGAAGAGCCTCATTCTCTTATCAACTCAAATTTGCACGTTACTTTAGAAGGATGAAGAGAAAGCCAAGGAAAAAGATCGTGGCAAATCCCGCAACATAGATAATTTTATGGAAGAGCTGAAAAAAGAACAAGAAATGAGGGAGAAGCGCCATCAAGACCGAGAGCATCGACAACGAGATGGAAAACCACGAGGCACTTCAACGGTAGTTATATACTATATAGCTTTCAGTTGGTCCGCGCTCGCTTGGGGCCAACATCGTCCTGCAAAAGCTAAACGTTTTCGTGAATAACCGGCTTACCTTCTGTGTCCAGCCTCCCAGTCGTTTCGACGAGCTTCCCGAAGAAGATCCGAACGGCAAGCTTCCTGGATCGTTTGATGATGGTGATCCACAGACGACCAATCTCTACGTTGGAAATCTCTCACCGCAGGTAAAGCTTCTATGTTTTCTCGTTCTCTCTCTTGATATATATATATATGCACTGGTTTCAGGTCGACGAAAACTTCCTGCTGAGGACGTTCGGTCGTTTTGGACCAATTGCCAGCGTCAAGATTATGTGGCCACGAACAGAAGAGGAAAGAAGAAGGCAGCGTAATTGTGGATTTGTTGCTTTTATGAACAGGGGTGAAGCTCAAGCTGCAAAAGACGAGATGCAAGGTTGAGAAGTTTTTCTTCTTCATTCTTTCCTGATTATTTTGTTTGTAGGTGTTGTTGTATACGAGTATGAGTTGCGCATCGGCTGGGGTAAAGCTGTCGCCCTTCCAGCCCAGGCTCTTCCTGCTCCTCCTCCTGGCCAAATGGCTATACGGTCGAAAGAGGTACGATGGTTTTTTGCAATCGAAAGTTTTGTAGAGACGTCGCTTTGCAGGGCGGTGCCACAGCTGATGTTGCATGGTCTGGCCCAGGGGCTCCTTCTGCCGTTTCAGTTAATACTCAAAATGCTGAAGTGGTAAGCTTTTTAAAGCACTTGCTTCCTTATCAAGACAATGTTTTTGTAGGTGCTGACACCCAACGTTCCTGATATTGAGGTGGTTCCACCGTCAAACAGTCATCTTCGACATGTTATAGATACCGTGGCTATGTATGTTCTTGACGATGGCTGTCCTTTCGAGCAAGCCATTATGGAAAGAGGCCGTGGTAACACTTTATTTAACTTTTTATTTGATCTGGGATCCCCCGAGCACACATACTATGTCTGGCGACTCTATTCTTTTGCTCAGGTATGGCTTACTGGGGTGGGGTTTATAGTTTTCATTTTCTTGAGCTTTTTCATGCCTGGTTATGATTGCTGGACAATCTGACGAGTAGTTTCTTATATGAAATGTAGGGAGACACACTTCAAAGATGGAGGACAGAGCCTTTCATCATGATCACGGGTAGTGGGCGGTGAGTGTTGTGTTTTTCTTTCTCCTCTTTTTTTATCTTCTCAAGTCCGTTTGGACTCGCTTATAGAGCTCCATTGGATTATCTTTGTTCTCTTAGTGTTGGTAGTATTGGATACACGAGGGAGTGAATATTTTTGCTGTTTCTGATGGATTTAATTGTTCAGATGGGTTCCTCCTCCGTTACCTCAGCAAGATGCTGTAAGAAGTCCCGAGCATGAGAAAGCATCAACTTTTGCTGCTGGCAGAGTCAGGGTAAGACCTCTAATTTTCCTCGTTTTTTTTTCTTGCTTCTAAGGTTGATTTACAGAGAGATACGTTTGAAAGATCACTCGCGGATGCCCAACGTGACGAGTTTGAAGATATGCTACGTGCTTTGACGCTTGAAAGAAGTCAAATAAGAGATGCAATGGGTTTTGCTCTTGACAACTCTGAAGCTTCTGGAGAGGTATGATTTGGTGTTTCTCTGGGAAAAAAAAAAAAAAAAACACTTGCAGGTGGTTGATGTCTTGACGGAGTCCCTTACAATCAAGGAAACACCAATTCCGACTAAAGTGGCGAGGCTTATGCTCGTATCTGATATACTACATAACAGCAGTGCTCCGGTGAAGAATGCATCGGCTTATCGCACCAATTTTGAAGCTCGGCTACCAGATATTATGGAGAGTTTCAATGACTTATACCGCAATATAACAGGACGAATAACAGCCGAAGCACTGAAGGTAATGTGCATCATATTTGTTCGTGAACGCTGACTAACTATACATACGTATATCTCGTGCAGGAGCGCGTGCTGAAAGTCTTACAGGTTTGGGCGGACTGGTTTTTATTTACGGATGCCTACGTAAATGGATTAAGAGTCACTTTTCTACGCTCTGGAAGCTCTGGTGTTCCTGGCTTCCATGCTCTCTGTGGAGATGCTCCACCAGCTGGACTGGAAGATGAGCAGAGTATGGACGAAGAAAGAGTTCATGAAGCCGCTCTTGCGGTTTGCCAAGGAGAGCCTGCAGCCGAGTTGATGAGCCTGCCCTGTGCGGAACTAGAAAGAAGATGCCGTCACAATGGTCTATGCATACGAGGAGGGAAAGGGATCATGGTGGCCCGGCTATTAAATCTGGAAGAGTCCGAGAAACAGAAGGCTGGGAATGGAAGAAACGACTTGCACAAGGCTGCGAGGCAAAGGCCGGTCAAGCGTTTCGATGATGATCCTGCCGATACGCGGAAGAAAACCATCTTGCCTGCTTCAAAGTGGTCGAAAGAGGATGACGGCAGTGAAGAGGAAGATAGAAACGATGGAAGGGTGGGGTATTCGTCCGGAGACGAAGTGTTCGAGAGGCGCATGGACAACGATGGAAGAATAGACGAAGAAAGAAGGCAAGTCACTCTCTGTTTTTCTTCACTTGGTACTGACTGATCGACTTCGCTTTGTAACAGGCAAAAGTTGAGAAGGCTGGAGGTGTCGGTGATGGAGTACAGGGACTCGCTAGAGGAGAGAGGCTCGAGAAACGTGGAGGAGATCGAGAGGAAAGTAATGCAACACAGGAAAAAGCTGGAGTCAGATATTGGCGTGGAGGATTCTTCCCGAGGCTCTGGTAAGAAAGATTCACATTTTATAGTTCTCCAGTCTCTTAGACCATCAAAACTTGTAGATCGAAACGAGAGGAGGGACGTCTTCTCCAGGAAACGAACCAGGAGCCGGAGCCGCAGCCGGAGTCCTCCAATGCGCGGCAAGGATAGATCGAAAGAAAGGGAGCGAGGTAGCAAAGATAGAAGGGAGAGAGATAGAAGAGCAAGAAAGTGAAGGTTGCTTGCTTGCTTGCTTCATTATAAAGTGGGCTTTGTCCAGAAATTCTTTTAAGTCACTAAGCTTAGAACGATCTTGATCATTCGAGTTGGCTGGGAACCGTGCTCGATCATGATTGCTCGATTCAACCAAGGCTAGTTTGGGCGATCTAGAAAGCTCAAGATCTCAAGCTTGGCTAGTACTTAGAAGTTTCTTCTGGCAGTGATGGCTTGATCTTGAGCTTGAGAGCGTTCCGGGCTGATAGAGCCAGCTCTTTCTCCGCGCCGCTGAGGCACCGGCCATAGCTGCGAAGGTAGTAAACGCAGCTGCGATGGCAAGAGCAGTCATCGTCACCGAAGCAGTAGTGGACACTCTCCTCCCGAGCTGCTGTTTGGACTGAGAAAATGAGGAAGATCGCCACGACCAACATCGAGATCTTGACCATCCTAGCCTTCAACATCGCCATTCCTGGTGGAAACCTTCTCCCTGGAAAGAAGAAAGAACAAGAGAGGCTCGCTCGAAGTTCACACTAATCTTCTCCTTCGAAACTCTCGAATCAAAAAGAAAGAAAGAACACTCTCTACTTTTATGGTCCTAGTGGTGTATCCACCGCATCAAAGCACCAAAACTGTGGATCCTGGGAAGAAACTTTCACCTGTTCCAGAGATTTAATACTCTTCCAGCCGAGTAATCGTCTTCCAGCTCAAGAGAAATCTCTTGACAGGTGCTGCAAGAAGACAAAAGAAAACGATGTGTCACACTATAGTCTTTGCAGGCCGTCACAATCTATGCTAGCTCCACGCTGTTCCGAAGTTTTCCAAGAGCTCGAGATATTTGGCTGGGCGATAAGGAAATCTTCGGGGAGTTAAGTTTGCGTTGCTTTGCTGGTTGGATTTGGTCGCTTCGATTTTGGGAATTCACAGAAGGAAAACATTACATAACTTAAAGTAAGCAAAAACTCAAAGATGTTTCCAGTGAAGAACTTCCTTGTCGCAAGTTCTCTCATCCGTCGTGGACGCTTCCATTTGCGTGTGTAGCTCTCTCCATAGAAAGTTCAGCGGTACGGCAGAGCACTGAAATTATGTTAAGTGACGGCGTCTCTCTTGTTTTCTGCTGCACTGTAGCTTTGCAGCTGCTGATCCATTCCCTGCATATGTCCTGGCCAGTCTTGATAATCCTCCGTGACTTGTTGAAAACCAAACATGCGTTCTTCTTCGAGTGACAGTAAACCAGGATTTGGCTGCTCGACTTCTAATTCTTCGTCTTGCTCGACAATCCTTACATCATCCATGGCGGCGATGCAATGAAAAGAAGGACCATCTCTTCCGAGCTCTAGATCAAAGTAGCCATGAGATTCCAGAAATCATCACCTAGGAAACAAAGCCACGTTGAGTTCATTGTGGAGATTCAAATACAAAAACCTGGACTTACTTCACAGCAATATGCTTGAAGCCGTACTTAATCCAAATAACATCAAACTATTCCCAGAGTGCTGCTTGCCTGTAGAGACGTTCACAATGCTGTGAGCTTCTTAATTTCTATTCAAGTTGTTAAAATATTTAATATCCTAAGCATAATATAGTTGTTATAATTTTTTTTATAATAAAAGAAAAACCTACATTTAATTAACGTTATCAACTCAGTAAAGGAGAAGGGATTTAGTGTTTGGTCAACTCTACTCTCTCCCCTCTAAAGTCAGAAGTTTTGGCTATGGCGCTGGAGTCTTCCAAGATCACAGTGACCAACATTTGCTTGGTTTCTCCAAGTTACAGCCCGGAGAATGTCGATCTCTTGGAGAGGAAGAAGCAAATGCGTCTCTGTGCTGCATCTCATATGATTTGGTTCGTGCCTTACAGGACTCGCCTTCTCTTCTTCCGAAAGCCTCCTCCCCATCTCTCCTTCGAGGCCATTGTAGCAAATCTCAAGAGTTCTCTTGCCAAGGCGCTGGTGGAGTTTTATCCCCTGGCAGGGAGATTGCTAGTGAGTGACAGCGAGAATGGACTGCGGATGGATGTGGTTTGCAATGACAAAGGCGTGCTCTTCATCGAAGCCAGTGCTACTGGAGTTACTGTTGAGGAGCTCGCAAAGGATGAAGTGAGTGGTCATTTCGAGGGGATTCCAGCAAAACTAGTGGAAGATCTGGCACAATGTGGAGACTACGATATATCGACAATTCCATGGTCCTTCGATGCTCCTCTGTTCATCATCCAGGTACTTCAATATATATTCGCATTGATAATCAAGTCGAATCGAATGTAGGTGACAGAGCTTTCTTGTGGAGGCATTTGCATCTCCGTCAAGTTCAATCACCAGCTTTTAGATGGAGCTGGGACCTGGAACTTTGTCAAGTCATTGGCCGAGGTCTGTTGTGGTAAATCTATGTCACTCAAGCCCGTGGTCGTGGAAACTCCACCATGCATTGCAGTCTCGGACGATCATCCCACAGATTTTGAGCTTCCAGCAGGGTTTGGAAGGGCCTGCAACGCGGATTTACTGAAATTAAGCACCAAGTCAACATCGCAGTCCGCGGAGTATGACATGAAGTGCTTTGCATTCAAGAAGGAGATGATCCAAAAGATGAAGCTCGAGAATCCAGGGTTCAGCTCGTTCCAGCTTCTCACGAGTTTCATATGGTCCAGAGTTAACGCTGCGAGAGATCTCAAGGATGACGAAACCACTACTCTTGTGTTTGCAGCAAACTGTAGAGGACGGATCAAGACTGTGCCGAAGGGATTCGTAGGAATGGCCGTGGTGTATGATCACGTTTCCACCAAAGTCTCGAGCCTACGAGCTCAGGGAAATGAGCTGAGAAATGGGGCGGATCTTCTCAAGAAAAAGATCGGTGATTTGCTCACGGAGGAAGGCGCGGGTCTCTACTCAAAGGCTGTGAGCAGTGGCGACAGGGGCTTCACAGCTTTTCCTCAATCTAAGATGGAAACAGCATTGATCGTTGGAAGTTCGTTCTACTTCCCGGTTTTCGAGGACTTTGGATTTGGAAAGCCGGTTGGAATGACGCTGGTTCGTCCTTCTGATGATAGCAAGCTATACTATTTCCCAGGGAAGGAGGAAGGTGATGTGGTAGCTTATATTGGGCTCACAAGTCACGCGATGAGAAAGCTTAGTTTTCCACAGGTTTGAAACAATATAAAGTTGTCTCTTTGCCCTTCACCGCGGGACGGCATGGAGATCGAGGCGAGGATCTTCGAGACAGATGTTTCTGATGGTACTGTGATTGTTGACATGCACGGAAGCTCCAGATAATGGGTCGGGCCATCTTGGCTTTTGGCTGGATCAAGGAATGTTGTCTCCTTGACTGCTATGTTCTCAGAATTTGCCGGAATGGGCATTACAGAGACGCTCTCTCGAGCTCTGGAGCTCCTCCATGGATTTGGAGGGAGTCAAGTCAAATGGCTTGCCATTTTTTTTTTTCCTGGAAGCCTGCGCCGGTCCCGGGAATAGAATCTGCTGTAAAATTTTCCACTCCCGAAATCGAGGGAATGGAGCTTATGCGCTGGGGAAATGCGGTCACGTTGCGCGATGATGGCGGCGTATGCCCAAAACGGACAGCACAGGGAAGCGCTCCGAGTCTTTAGCGAGCTCGACACGATGCTGGATCGCGAGCGTCTTGGAGGCGTCCTCAAGTTTGGCCAGGCTAGAATCTCGGATCCTTGCTAGTGGAATTCGCGTGAGCGTGATCGTGGTCGTCATCACTTACAGAAAGTGTGGAGCTCTCAGCCTCGCGAGATCCACGTTCAATGGCCTGTGCTGGAACACGATGATCTCCGCCAACTTGCAGCACAGCAACGCCAGGAAGTGCTCAAGCTCTTCAACGAGCTCAAACAAGCCGGGACTTTGAGCGAGCACTTGGGGGGCTGCATGATCGATCTGCTGGGACGAGCTGGGGGATTTGAAGAGGCTGAGAGAGTGGTTGCTCCATGAAACGCAATGTCCCCTCCTGATCATGAATGTCGTCTCTCAATCACCAAGTCCTGGATAAAACCAGGGCATGGCATTTCGTAGTTCGATATAAGCTGCGGCAAATCCCCGTCACTTGTGGTCGTGGAAACTCCCCTGGACAACGAGCAGAGCTGGAGATTTAGCTCCCGCCGATTTTTCATGCGGTGGAAGATTAGAACTTGTTCACACTATCAACGCTATGAAAAGCTTCTCGTTTGCTTCTCGTTTGCCCAGGAGTGAGATTCCACGGCAAAGAGATGGAAGACCCCGTTCTTCTCAGTCAAGTGCTGTGAAAGCTCTCCAACGCTGGAAACTATGACTCTCAGTTGGAGATGTACGCCTTCTCATGACATGAGAAGGAGTTGCCACCTCATAGATCCACGTTGGCTGGAGTTGAGTAGATCAGAGCCACATTGTCCACACGACGCTTCCGCTGTGTTTTGACACTCTCGAGACTGTCATGTTCAGGACGGCCTCCATGGACATGCAAGCCACCTCTATATGAGCCATGACTACAGCGCTCTAGGCTCGCCTCTGTCCCACCGTCATAGGTCTTCTAGATCCTTTTGGGTATGTCCTTGAGAGCGTTCCTGGCTGAAAGATCCAGCTCTCTCTCCTCGCCACCCAGGCACTGGCGATAGCTTCGAAGGTAGTAAACGCAGCTGCGATTGCAAGAGCAGTCATCGTCACCGAAGCAGTAGTGGACACTCTCCTCTCGAGGTGCTGTTTGGACTGAGAAAATGAGGAAGATCGCCATCGAGATCTTCATCTTCGCCATTCCTGGTGGAAACCTTAAGCGAGAGCACGAAACTCTCGAAGTTCACACTGCCTGGTCCTTAGAAACTCTCGAATCGAAATGAAAGAACAAACACTCTTTACTTTTATGGTGTATCCACCACATCCAAGCACCGAGAACCTTTCACGTGTCCCAGCGATTCACTACTCTTCCAGCAGTGTAATCGTCTTCCAGCTCAAGCAGACACATGACAGGTGCTGCAAGAAGACAAAAGAAAACGATGTGTCACACTATAATCTTCTATGCTAGCTCCACGTTGTTCCTGAGTGCCTCCGATAAGTTTGCGATGGATAGAGCACCGTAGCTCTGCTGCTGCTAATCCATTCCCTGCATATTTGGAGGCAGGTTCG